CGACTGCTGAGTCAGATGGGAGTTGTACGCTTCTTTCTTTAAGAAGCTGCCAAACCTTTTTCCAGGGTGGCTGTACCATTTCACAGTTTACCAGTTCAAGTGAAATATAGACAACTTGCTTTTCTTTATATTATTCTATGCTCCTCCGTCTGCAATATAATTGCCTTAAATATCTCCTCTACATACATTTCAAAACACATCAGACTGTGTTGTAATTTTTTCTTCGACTATTAAACATAATTGACAAAACTTGAGAGTATAGTCTAATGTATTTACCCATATTTTTGTTTTCCATGATCTTTCTTCCCCCCTGATTTTTTATTGTGTTCTGTTTAAAAAACTTCCCTTAGCCATTCTTTCAAGGCAGGTCTGCTAATGACAATGCTCTTTGTTTTCCTTTGAGAATTATCTTGATTTTTCCCTTCATTCTTAAAGGATATTTTCACAAGATCTAGAATACTGGATGGAGGGTCCTTTCCTTTTGGTACTTCAAAATTATTGTGCCTCTCTTTGTGGCTCCTGTGGGTTCTGATGTATTGTTCTGATGTATTGGTTCTAGCCAATATGCCATCATTCAAGTCACTTTCCTTTGAAGGTAAGCTGTTCTCTCTCACTGTTTTTTTTTTTTTTTAAGGTATTTATTTATTCATGAGAAATGCAGAGAGAGAGGCAGAGACAGGCAGAGGGAGAAGCAGGTTCCATGCAGGAAGCCCGACGCGGGACTCGATCCTGAGACCCCAGGATCATGCACTGGGCTGAAGGGAGGTGCTAAACCGCTGAGCCACCCAGCCATCCCTCTCTCTCACCGCTTTTGAGATTTTTTTTCTTTGTCTTTATTTTTCAGAAGTTTGATTATGATGTGTCTCGGTAAGTTTCTTTGGGGTTAGCTCAGCTCATGCACCTCTAGATTCATGTCTTTTGTCAAATCTACAAAGTTTTCAGCTATTATTTCTCTGAGTACTTCTTTAGATCTACTCTTTCTTCTTCTTCTGGGGCTCTGATGACAGGAAGAACATAGGTCTTTCGTTATGATTCCATGGGTCCCTGAAGTCCATGCAATTTTTTTTTTTTTTTTTTTTTTTAGTCTCTTCTCTCTGTGTTGGTCAGATTGGGTAACATAGATTGTTCTATCTTCTGGTTCACTGGTTCTTTCTTCTATACCCTCCACTCTGCTGTTGAGGTTTTGTTGTTGTTAAGATTTTATTTATTTCTTCATGAAAGACACACAGAGAGAGGCAGAGACATAGGCAGAGGGAGAAGCCGGCTCCCTGCAGGCAGCCTAATGCGGGACTCGATCCCAGCACCCTGGGATCATGCCCTGAGCCAAAGGAAGACCCAGGTGCCCTGCTGCTGAGCTTTTTTATTTTAGTTATTATATTTTTTAGTTCCCAATTCCATTTGGCTACCCTTTACATCTTCTATATCCTTGCTAAGACTTGTTTTTTTTTCATTGGTTTCATGTTCCTAATTGTTCATTTAAGTATTTTTTTTAAAGTTCTTAAATTTTTATTTATTTACTTGAGAGGGAAAGGGCAAGAGCATGAGTATGAGCAGGGGGAGGGAGAGGGACAAGCAGACTCCCTGCTGAGCAAGATGTGGGGCTCAATCCCAAGACCCTGGGATCATACCTGAGCTGAAGGCAGATGCTTAACCAACTTAGCCACCCAGGGGCCCCTCGTTTAAGTACTTTTATCATGGCTGCTTTAAAACCCTCATCAGGGCACCTGGGTGGCTCACTCCCATTAGACATCTGTCTTCAGCTCGGGTCATGATCCTGGGGTCCTGGGATCAAGCCCCACATTGGGTTCCCTGCTCAGTGGAGAGTCTGCTTGTCCCTCTCCCTCTCCTCACTTGTGCTCTCTTGCACATTCTCTCAAATAAATAAAATTGTTAAAAAAATAAACTAGCTTCAGATAATTCTAACACCTCTTTGAGTGCTGAAATCTTTTCTCCTTCGGTTTGAGGTCTTCCTGGCTATGTTGGTATGATGAGTGATTTTTTTGATTGACACCTGGACTTTTTTGTGTGATATAATGAGACTGATTTTATTTATTTATTTATTAAGATTTTTAAATTTATTTATGATAGACATAGAGAGAGAGAGAGAGAGAGGCAGAGTCACAGGCAGAGGGAGGGGCAGGCTCCATGCTGAGAGGCTGACATGGGACTCGACCCCAGGACTCCAGGATCGCACCCTGGGCCAAAGGCAGGTGCTAAACCGCTGAGCCACCCAGGGATCCCCCTGGATTTTATTTAAATCTCTTTTAACTGGTTTTCCATGACACCACTGTGGCAGGGGAGAGGCAGGCGCTGTATCCTTCCTGACAAGTGAAGCGAGAAGTCTACTCCCCACTCAGCCTCCATCAATACCCCAGGCCAGCAGCTCCTCCTTACTGCTGGGTGGAGTTGGGAGTTGGGATTCCCCACGAGGTCTCCACTGACACTATGGTAGAGGTGGTAGTGTTATCAATGGGTTGTGAAAGTCCTGACCCTTCACCGGGTCTCCTCCCTCAGCAGGAAGGGGGTGGGGAGTCTCACGACAGCTGGTTGGAGATGGCACTCCAGGTCCAGTTTCCCCATGTGTTCTGCACTGACCCTGTGGGCAGGGGAGGGTCCTTCTTACTGTCCCAGAGTGGGAGGAATGAAAGTCTCAGCTCCCTACTTGGTCTCCTCTGGCATCACTTCAAATACAGGAAGGAGGACAACTCTTCATTACAGCCTGGCAAGGATGGAAGCCCAGGCTCCCCACTCAGCCTTTGCTGGCAGGGCCACAGTTTTCCCCGCAGTGTTTGTCTGGAATAGAGCAGTTATTGTCTGAAGGTTTGCTGTCTTGTTAGATTGCCCTTTTCTTCATTCCCTGGCTAGAGAGAGCAGGTTTTTCTTGGGGCTTTTTTGTGTTCCTTTTGGAATTTCTAGTTTGCCAGCTTCCTTAGCTCCAAGTCTGGGATATATTTGGCCAAAAAACAAAACAAAAACCACAAAATGGAACTCACCACCATATGGAACTCACCTCTCCCAAAAGGAGAGGTCCTGGGTTTTGTTTTTAATATCCATAAGTTCAGACATCATGTTTATAGTTTCTGCTACTAATTCCCAAGTTGAAATGTTAGTTCTTTGGTTGGGTCCTTGACAAAATGGATTTCCTCTGAGGTAGAAATGTGACTTAGCTCTTGTTTTTACTGAGGATGCTGTGTAAGAATCTTTCCATGTGCTCAGATGATAACACCTTCAGAAGTCTGGAATATGACAAAAAAGGCTTTTTTCTTTTTCTCCTCTCTAGAAGGAAGTGGAATCCAGAATCTAGATTAGAGAGGTTATATGGCAAAGATAAAATGAACACTCAGTGAATGAATCAGCAAATGAACAAATGCAGGACTAGCCAAAAACTAAAAGCTCTGTCTCATTGCTCTGTGCTTAGGAAAACTTGGGTTATGCTATGGGTCCAGCTAAAGGAAATGGGTTCTTCATATACAATAGAGATGAAATATTCATTAGTACCACTCTTCTGGATAGCAATTTAGCCACACTTACTAAGGCTTAAGATGATTCAAACCTCAGTAATTCAATTTCCTCAAGAAGTGAGAGTATAGAAAAGACTTTATGCCCACACAGATATCACAATGTAACTATAACACCACATAGTAGAACATCCTAACTTGTTCCATAGTTCCTCAACAAATAAGATTGACACCCAATCTACCCATTCAATGGAAAAACCTAAACAGAGATCTTTCGACTCCTGCCCCTGAGGAGTCATCGAGTCCTTTTACAGCTCTTCCTGCCCCACGGCAATGAAGGGACTCAGGCTCTCCAGCCAGACTGAGGAATGGGTGACTCCGAGTTAGGCACTTACTAGATGCTTTCTACATTTTCTCTCATTTTGTTAATCCTTTCATCCTCTCAGTAGGTTTTATTGTAGTTTGTTTTGTTATTGTTGTTGTTTTATATGAGAAACAAAATTTTAAGTTCATGGCTGAGAAGTAGCAGGCCTAGGATTCTGATTTGGGTCTGCCCAAGTCCAAAGCTTATCCTCATATAAGGCCTCATATAAGGCCTCTCTTGGGTAGATTTATCTCCATTTTAGAGATACGGAAACTGAAGTACAGAGATGTTCCTTGTACATTCTGAAAAATCCTTGAGGTGAGCTATGAGAAGGCCACGGTATTTTTGTGTAGGAGATAGGAGGTCAAGGGGGGTATGCAAGGAATGTCTCTGTGTCCCTAAAAATCACAAGCTCCTCCCACTAGGGACATTTGCTAAACAGGCCTACAATGCCAGCATGAAATAATTACAATGAGAAGCCAGCTGTGGAGGAGGAAGGTGTCCGTCTTGTCTATTTAATGGGGTGATTCTACCTTCTGAGGATCCGCTTCTCTCCCTCTCCAGATCTCAGTCCCTCCCCAGCAGCCAACAGTATGAGGCTCTTCCAACTGTGGGCCATTCATTAGATCCATCCAGAGGGGCAGCTCTGGATGAAGAAGAGCCAGCGCAAGATCCAATGATCTGGTGGCAGGTGCAGGGGAGACAGAAGGCAATGGTTAACTTTCTTCATTCCCATTATTCCTCCTTCCTTCCCTCTTTCCTTCCTTCTTTCCTTTTCAAATAGTAGAACAAAATGTTATTCCCAAAACACCAGGGGAGACTGTGCTTTTTGTTTGGGCCTGGGAGGCTTCCAAAAATGCTACCTATTTAAACTCTCTGGCAAAGGAAAAACAGTCACCAGACTCCAAGAGAAAACACTGTATTTTCCTAAGCTAGACAAGGCTATCATAATCTGAACATGGCCAGGAAAGAAAGGTCCAAAAAAGTTATTTCATTCAGAAGAAGAAATGCAGAAAAAGAGGAAAGTGACTGATTACTGAGAACCTACCCCTGCCCAAAGGAACAGGGCATAGCCAGGGAGAGTCGTAGGACCTGTGGTGAAGTAGGTATATGTAAACATCTATGTTAAATAAGCAAAACCTTCATGTGGGAGGAAAAGACCCCTACATGGACAAAATCAACTGCTCTTTATTTTGTTTCATCAGTTTTATTGGTCATATATCCGTGATTCATTATATAAATCTTTCAAAATAACTAGATATTACAAGAATAGTTTACAATTCAGCTCTCATTGCACAAATACTTGATACAGGAAAACATTTTTACAAATACGTATGTTTTCTTATAAGAATACTTTTTTTTAAGATTTTATTTATTTATTCATGAGAGACAGAGAGAGAGAGAGAGAGAGAGAGAGAGAGAGAAGGAGAGAGGCAGAGACACAGGCAGAGGGAGAAGCAGGCCCCATGCAGAGAGCCTGATGTGGGACTCGATTCCGGGATTCCAAGATCACACCCTGGGCCGAAGGCAGGTGCTAAACCGCTGAGCCACCCAGGGATCCCCTTATAAGAATACTTTAATAAAGAAAATAAGTCTGCATACATCTTACAGCAAATTCTATGCAGTTTTTTCCCCATTCAACCATCGTTTTGGGTTTTCCATCCCAGCACATCCATCGCGTTCAATAAATCAAATTATAATTTGCTGTTGTTTCTCATTTTCAACCATTATTGAAATTCATTCTGTTAAAGAGTTTTTAGGTTTCTTTTTCTCATCTTTCCTGATTGGAAAGAATTCACATAATTAAGCTAGAAGAGGTAATTTAAACACCATTCCTTCTAATGTAGTTGGTGGCAGTTGGTGCCTGGTGATCTCACTCCTCACTTACACAAGTCCAGGTAAGTAGTTTTACCCCACCACTGCACCAAGCAGAAGGGATATAGTCCTTGCATTCCTAATAGTTTTTAAACTGCAAAAACAAACCCCAGAAATAAGGGTTAAATACAAATATTAAGAAAGCTAAAACATTTGCTAATGATTAGAATAAAGACACTTTTAAATTCAAGGTCTCTTCTAAGTTGAAGAAAACCTAAAAGAAAGGATGTGGCAGTAGTTCTATAAAATTGAAAAGTGAAAAAAATGTCAATCACTTAGGTCAATGGTGTGTTATTTCCAAAGTGCCATAAGAGACGGAATTTTAGACTCTACGGCTAGCTGAACTCAGGATCTGGCATCCTTCTTATGCAGTGGCTTTGAGTAGCCTTATAGTCCCCTGCTCTGGGGCACGTCACCATTCAGGCTGCAGGGGAACTTTTCAGAATACTGAGCATGTTTACCTGAAGAGACAGGATCCACCAGGGGAAACATTTGGCATTTATGCTATTATTCACGGTTACTGAAAAGTGTGTCCACTCGGCAAAGCTTGTCTTACTTTTCAAGTAGCATGAATGAAAACCAAGAGACTAGCAGTATTCTACAGTCAAGTTCCTGAGTACTACGCTCCAATTATCCAATATTTTAAAAGGATTCTTTAATCAAGCCCTTGTCCAGTAAGAAATTTAACAGTACTTTGGGACTGCAATATGTCCCATTTCTCTTATATTTCTCTTGATTTCTCTTTCTCACCCCAGTGTAATAAACTGCTACAGGTTTTTACCAAAATACTGTAGCAGTAATTGGAAAGGAGTTTTTTGGGGTTTTTTTTTTTGTTTTTTTTTTTTTGTTGTTGTTGTTTTGTTTGTTTTTTTTTTGGAAAGGAGTTATTTTGAATTACCAAAAGTATTCAATCACATTATAACGGGTCATATTTGCATATAACTAATGGCCAAACAATGTCTACTGCAGTGATTTTGCAAATTCAGCATAGTCAATGTATCCATCATTGTTCTTGTCATCGTCTCTCAGAACACCATCTATTAAGTTAATCAGTTCAGCTTCACTCACAGGTGGGGCCTGTTTCCCTTCCTACAAAATACAAAGCAGACAATGATGAGTCACATATTTTACCAGAAGTGCTTAGTTAATGTCCAAAATGTCCGTGCTCATATGTCCACAAGCTCCTTTGGTGTAGTATATAGCTACTTCTAAGAATCCACAAATCACCTATCAGATAGTCAATTCACAACAACCCAAGTTAAAAAGAAAGATGCATTCAAAGTAGGCTTATTTGCTTTAAAAGTTGCTTATTTGTTTTAAAAGTTGCTTTTCGTTCTTTGCTTATTTGTTTTAAAAGTTGCTTTTCGTTCTCTTCTAATTACAAATGTAACATATGTTCACTGCAGAAAGGTAGGTCTGGCTCACACAGAATGATGAGGTTCCTAATTCCCACAAACCCACAAACTGGTCTTAGAGAAAAGCTCACAACCCAGGCTCTCCAGAGGGTCAGCTCTGGATGCAATGTGCCCTTGTAAAGCGCAAGCAGTCTGCACCAGACAGCATCTTGGGGTCAGAACAAGAGGAAAGAGCTGCTGACCAGAGGAAGTGGATATAATCTTGGAGGTGAGGGTACCCTCTTGGGGGTGAAAGGTGCCCTGCTCCAGAAGCAGATAGAGTGGAGCTCGCTGTGCTGAGTGCTAACACTGTCCATCTAGGCTGATTCTTCCTTTGGCACCTCCCCCACGTGCACCCTTTGCTCTCCTACCGCCACCACCAGCCTCGCCTGCCAGAACTGCTGAATCACAATTTCTCCCCCTGATGCAAGTCTTCCCATGCCCATCAGTCTCCCTCCCACAGCAAATGATCTTCCCGTGATAGTGCCTATTCTCCTGCACAAAGCCGTCGGTGCTCCCTGCCACCTTCAAAGCAAACCCACACCTGTTCTTCCGGCAGACAACGGGAGCACACACATCATCAGCTCTGCCCCTCTTCCTCTCTATGGACTGCAGTGTGGCAGAGCAGGACAGACACTAGACCAGGAGACACACCATCTCGACTTCAGTTCCCTCACCAGTAACATGGGGGTAATAAATGCACCTGCCCTGGCTACTCACAGGCTGTGGCAAAGATCAATCAAGCTCTCTAACCCACTTGAAAGTGCTCTGGAAACCGTCTCATATGGAGCACTGTATAATATCACACGAACCCTCAATTTCTGCTGAGTCCCTCGATCCCATGGTCCCTTGGTTCGCCACTCTTCTCAAAAAAAAACTTCTCCCACCGCCCCCCAAAAAAACAAACAAAACTTCTCTCCTGCTCTGAATTTCAATGTGATCTGTCCTTTAGGTGCTGGTTCTCAGACTCTAGTGCATGGCAGAAATGCCTATAGCAATTGTCAGAGAAACAAGGCCCTGGGGGAATTCAGCCTCAGAGGTCACCCTTTGTGAGAAGGGGCTACGAATAGGAAGTGGCGAGCAGAAAAAGAAGATGCAAGTACAGCACAGTCATCAAGGCTAGGGACTGAACGGCCAGGGCCGGGTTAGGGGGTGGGGTGCAGGAAGAAGGCTTTCCAAGACACTGTCCACTAAGCCACGGCTGACCTACCTCCTTATGGACGTGAGTGATGGCTGTGGAGAGTTCTAGGCCGTCAAGCAAATTATTGCCGTCATAATCATGCATTTTGAAATAATGGAGCTGCAGTTCTTGTGGGGACATCTCTGCTTCTGGTTTGTTGATGACACCTTCTAGATGCTCCATGATATGCCTAAAAACCAATAGTTAGACTCAGACCTTTCAGCAGCAACCCCGGGATCATCCCCAAACCTTAAGGACTGAAAAATTCAAGATCGGAAAGTTCACCCATCCCAGAAAAACAAACAAGAGAGACAGAGCACACTCAAGGATGATAGATACAGGCAAGGCCATAAAAGGGGCAGGGAAAGAATCAAACAGTTCACCTGTTAAGCTGGCAAGACTATGGGTGTTCTTCCCTCTTCATTATTAGAATGCTGTTCTAACACTTTCAGGGGCTAACAATTAAAATAAGTTTTTTTGAACCAATTTTAGGATAATAAATAATGTGTGAGGCTAACTGGCCCACGACAAAAGTTGCAACAAATAATTCATGTTTAAATGTGCCAATAAGAAAAGAAAACTGTCTGGTCAGTCAAGAAACCTCAGTTCTATCCTGCCACTACTACTGGTGTATACATGTGTGAGAACATGTGCGTACACATACACACACGAGTATGAATGTGCGTGTGGTGGGGGTTTGTCTGTATGTCTGCTTGTGGTGAAAGAGAGAGACAGAATGAATTCAGGCAAGTCATTTATCCCATCTAGGCCTCAAGATCCTCCGTCTATGAAATGATGGAAAAAAGACTGCTTGATTTACAGGTGGCTCTAAGGAGTAAGCATCATCCTTGAAAAATGTCAAGGAGTTGTAGAAAAAGAAGGAAGAGCGCATGGAGGGAGCCATTACAGCTGGCCGTAGGCTGCAGCTGCAGGGGGAGGCCCTGGGCCCCCAGCCCTGGCTGGATACGTACTCTTGGTCGTGCACTGTATTCTTATCCAGGCCCATGCTGCCGGGATGGGAGAAGCTGGCCCCAGGTTCCTCGGCCCCAGCCCCTGGAGCACGGAAGGCCCAGAGCAGGCCACACAGGAAGGGGGTTCTGAGCAGCTGCAGGGATCTCATGGTCGCCGGTACCTGGGAGGTAGGGAACATAGAAGGTACAGGTGAAAACACCAGAGCTAAGGTTCTTTCAAAATGTGACGACACAGTGTGCTCCTGGGGAAGGATCTGTGAAAGGAACAAGACTGGGGAACAGACTGTCCAACTGGGCCCTCCAAGTCCCCATCAGTTGAATCAAGGGGGCTGGGAAGGCTCCACATTTTTTGAAGTTCCTTCAAAGTGCCAAGTAACGCAATGAGAGCTTAAAGGGATGTGAAGAGTTTTCCTGCCTACAAGAAGTGTACAGTCTGGTAAAAATACTTCCTATGGAAAGAACTAATAAGGCAGAAAGTGAAGCGTCCTAAAGAAAAATAAAACTGAAACTTCAGAGGAAGAAATTTCCTGTGGGGTGAGGGTCAGGGAAGGCTGACAGACCTGGGACACTTCAGTTGGGCCTGGACAGACAAACACGCCCTGGATGTGTGGGGACTGAAGGACTAAGGCAATGGTGTGAGCACAGAATCAGGTCAGATGAGTGGGAAAGAAACTCCAAGCGGTTTAGTTGAGGGGGGAGCCTAGAGGCTATGAAGCCGGCAGAACAGAGGAAAACAGGACACAGAGACTGACCAGCCATTTTGGGATACGGCTTTGCACACCAGGCCAAGGAGGCTGTAGTTGCTGGAGGATGAATAGACGCCACTGCACATTTGTGCATGGTGCAAGAGACCAGAGCTTGGTTTCAGAATGGCTCATCCAGCAGCACACTGGGAGCAAGGTATTTCGGGGAGCAAGACCAGAGGCAGGAATATGATAGTTGAGGGAAGCAAAGAAGTGGGTCACATCAAGGCCTACAGTTGGGGACAGAGAAGACCACATTAACCCTGCCTTGTCTGCCTCCCAGGACGGTGACAGAGGCAGGTAAACTAACCACTGTGAAAGAGCAATGGAAAGAATTACAGAGACATTAGGATGCCATCAAGTACTCCTGGAGTTTGGCTAGACCTGGAACTGTGGCCAACCAGGCATAGTCAGCTCCCCTGCCAGCTCCTGAGGGCAGGAGTACTTGTTCCCAGAATTCCTCACCAAGGCGCAGGCAGGCCTCTATTAACTGTTAGACTAAAATTCCCAGTCCTTTTGGGGGCTTATAGACCAACCTCAAAAAGGAAGATGAAGGAAAAAAAAAAAAAAAGGAAGATGAAGGACCACCAAGAGTCCTCCACACCAACACCAAGTCTACACATCCACCTTCCAAAAGGCAGTGGCAGATTCTGTGGGTAACAAGGGCCAGTGATTTCTAATGGGCCAACTAGAGCCATACCCCCAAACCAACAGCAGGAAAGAGAAAGCTCCAGGTGCTGCTCATTCCCTCGCACCCACCACCCACAGAGCTCACTCCAAAGTGGCTGCTACCTCCATGCCCTGCATCAGGGACTGAGAAGTAGCTGTGCTATAATCCATCACCATCCCAAAGGGTGAGACTCTGGGAGAATGCCATTCCTACAATCGTCAGGAATATTTCCCAAACCCCTTTTACCTATCAGCAGTATCCACTCCCACAGTCCTCTCCCTAAAGAAATGACCATCACTGGGAAGAAACTTCCAGGGTGCCAAAAAGCAGCATCTAATCTTACTACTGTATAGGGACATCATAATGCAATGTCATACTTAACAATAAGAGATCTTTAATACGCATTTAATAAAGAAGAGCAGACTGCACATGACTGTAAAGAATAATTTTGTATTCCATACATAGAACAATGACTAAAAATTGTTAAAGATTATCTTTTGAATTATGAGGTGTGATTCTGATTTTTCTTTTTACTTTTTATGAATTCTAAAGTTTCTAGTAAAAACATGTTTTTTATTTACAAATATGTATTTTAATGTATCCCATAATTTTGTTCCAATAGGTATGGATGGAAGGATGAATTTTTTAAAGGGGGGGGCTTTCATTTAATTCCTATCTCTGGAAAATAATTCAGGAACAGAAACTGCATTCCCAGTTTTACCAAATAAAAGTGTACAGAACCTGACAAGGCCACTGCCATTGTACCTGGTACCCGAAAACAAGGTCTCAAGTTACTCCCAGCAGTGACTGTCAGGCCAGAGCAGTGCAGCTTGGTCTCAGTATGCACCTTTAGAGTTCTGGGGTAGGAGAGACCAGAGAGGGAAGCCACTTTCTCCCAAGCATCCTAGACTCATGCACAGTATACATCTCTTTCTCCAGCAACTCCTCTTCAATTCTGAGTCTGCTGGGGATCCCTGGGTGGCTCAGCAGTTTAGCCCCTGCCTTCAGCCCAGGGCGTGATCCTGGAGCCCCAGGATTGAGTCCCGCATCAGGCTCCCTGCATGGAGCCTGCTTCTCCCTCTGCCTGTGTCTCTGCTCTCTTCCTCTGTGTCTCTTGAGAAAAAAAATAAATAATAAAATCTTAAAAAAAAAAAATTCCGAGTCTGGTTTAGGCATTCTTCCCATATGCTCCCCAGTACCTCCCTTCAGAAGAGTCCTGCCTGACAACTGCTGTGAATGCATCCTTGAGAACTGCCTGATTACTTGTCAGTGCTCCCTGTTGGACTGTGCTCTATGAGGGCAGGGACTGAATCCACATTCCTAGCATCAGGCACAGTGCCTGGCAGTTCTCATCCCATGGGGCAATAGTCCTTAGAGGCTAAAGGGGGATTCCTGCCTTCACAGATATGCTGCCAAGTTTTGATGTCAATGTAAATGAGCATAAAACCTTTTTTTGAAGATCTGACAGTTGAGTGATCAATGAACCATTTCCTATAACTATGTGGTTGGAAGCTTAATATATCGAATTGTGTGTATGGAGGAGGGATGGGTTCTATTTAAATGGCACCAAAAAGCAACCAAGTGATAATTAATACAGTAATTTCCCTTCTTCAAGGGAAGCAGAATAAAGGCCAAGTACCACTGGTTTTGAACATGATTCATCTCGGTCTGCTGTAGCAGGTTTCTAACCCAATCTATAAACACAGAGGAGCAACAAATTAACGGGTCACATTCAAAAAGAAACATAAGCGACTCCCCTTTGCCTGAAGAACATGTATCACCCATGCTTCAATGACTTAGTTCAAGGCCATGAGCAAACAGCCTGGTAGATAAGCCCCAGCAGTTTCGAAGTTCATCACCTTCTTTGGGAAATTATAAAGGCCAGACTGGAAAAAAAAAAAAATCCAAAGGAGAGACTTTTGAAGGTGACTTCCGAACCCAACCCATGCTTTGAGACATCCTTCACAAGGAGAAGCCTCAGTCCCAGGAGTTTGGTGCCTGATGATGCTCAGAGGTGGGTGTTTTGCAGTGCCTGGAGTGTGACGGGGCTCTGCTCGCTGATGCAGCAGCCTCTTCCAGGCCCAGAGCCTTTGCTCCCACCGTTCCATTCATCCAGCCTCCCTCTCACTTCCAGGTCCCGTTCACATGCATCTCGGGATTGTTCCAGCCACACCAATCAGTCTCTCCTCCCGCCTCAGTCTGCAGCCTCTCACAACATAGGGAAACAAACTGTTCTCTTTCCCTCACTCTGTGAGGGCCAGGAGCCTATCTTATCTGTCTCTCCCTGACTCTACCAATCATAAAGTACTAAGCTGACCCAAGAATAGCACACCTTCAAGTCTGATTCAGGGCAGTGGGTTTTGGCACCTAGATATGTTTCCCTATCACAGACCTGGCCTAAGTTGGAAAAATAACTTTTCTTTGGAGCTCTCCCACTAGGGCTGGCCTGGCCAGCTTGGCCCACCCTCTCCTCTCATTGTGTCGCTGGCCCTATCGGCTGTAAGAGTTTGGAGCCAGCCTCCCTCCCATAAAGACTGCAGCAGCTGTTAGCAGCTTTTCTCTCATGCTGGGGCCCTCAGTCAATTCAAACTCAAAGCAGCCACACTCACCAATATCCAGACATCCTGTACCCAAAGTCAGTGCCAAAGAAAAACTCCCAACACTACTTCCCATCTATCACTGCTATGGTCCTGGACTGAAGGCAAGAATAGAACCAGGTTCCTGGGCCAAAGAAATTGCTACATGGGTTGGGGGTTGAGAATTGGTTCTGAAAAGCAGGGCATTTTAATAACTTGATCTACAGGTTTGTTCGGGGAGCCCACAGAGCACCAGGCTTCATTTATGCATTCACCCAACACACTCTTTACTAACAGCTTGGTGCCACACAGGCGCTGAGGACAGAACTGTGATTCAGATGGGCTCCCGTCACACTGATTACAGCCCGGCGGAAAAGAGAGACCAGTAAACAGACACCCATGGAGTACCGCAGATACCCCGGCACACACCTGGAGTAACACGGGAAGGACAAGAAGGATCTTTTACAACCAAAGTACACAGTACTTCAGGTAGAACGAAAATCATGTAACCAACACCTAAGCCTGTAAGAAACTCGGTCCAGTCCAGGAACTCAAAAAAGGCTCAATAAGGTTGAAGACACAGTAGAGGCAGATGGAAGGATATGATTAGCTCCTCTGAATAACTCTGCAGACCGGCAGGGAACGGACACCTTGTATCCTAGGATAAGCAGGAAGAACACCTGGTCCACTTGATAAGGGGGGGAAAGGGGGGGGTTTGCTTGGCCAGAGGACCTGATCCATCGAAGCAGGGTGGGGAAGAGAACTGAGGCAAAAATTGTGAAAAGAGGGCAGCCCGGGTGGCTCAGCGGTTTGGCGCCGCCTTCGGCCCGGGGCCTGATCCTGGAGACCTGGGTTCGAGTCCCGCGTCGGGCTCCCTGCGTGGAGCCTGCTTCTCCCTCTGCCTGTGTCTCTGCTTCTCTCTCTCTCTCTGTGTCTATCATGAATAAATAAACAAAATCTTAAAAATAAAAAAATCATCACTGTGGCTTTGCAGTACGCAGCAAACCGCAGAGGATCAAGAGGCCAGGGGACCAGCCGGGAGGCTGCCTGCGGGAGCTCACACCGTGGACTGAACTCGCTCGGCAGAGGGACGATCGAGCGATCGGGGCGACGATCAGGGGCGACGTGGAAGTCGCCAGGAGCGCCGCTGGGCGGGGAGGGAGAGGGGCACTCAGGTTTCTGGTCTGGGCAGCGGTGCCTGCGGCTGTCGTGCCCGCGAAGGGCGCGCAGGAGAGGGGCGCTTCCCCGCCTGCCCCCGGACCTGTGTGCTGTCCCAGCCGGCGGGAGGCCGGGGCTCCCGAGGCAGGCGGAGCGTGCCGCCCAGGCCCCAGGCCCCAGGCCCCCGGGCCCCGGGCAGGTGCTCCAGGAGGGCAGAGCCCCGCCCCGGCTGCAGAGCCCCCGCCCGCCAGTCCCAGCACAGGGGGCTCTGCTCCCGGCGGCCGAGCTTCCCGCGGCAGCCCGGAGGCCGAGACCCCACCCCGACCCGGGCCCGAGAGAGGGGCGCCGGCATCCCCCCCGCAGCGGGCCCCACCGACCTCCTTCCCCAGGCTCGGGTCGCGAGCCTCCGACGCCGAAGCCCGACCTCCGCTGCGCCCGGGGTTCCAAGCAGGTCTCCAGACGCGAAGCCTTCCAGCGTGAGCCTCGCCAGCCCCCGTCGGCGGAACGCGGCTCCCCGGCCCCGCCCCCGCCCCGCCCCGCGCACGCGCGCCCCCCTCTGCCCGCCCATTGGCGCCGCGGAGCCCCGCCCCCGCCCCGCCCCCCGTGCGCACGCGCGCCCCCTCTGCCCGCCCATTGGCGCCGCGGAGCCCCGCCCCCCGCTCGGCGCCGGGCCGCGCGGACCGCTCGGGAGGTTCCACGTGTCGCGGGCTCGAGTCCAGCGGAGGCCGTTCCTCTGCCTGCCCTCCCCGGCCACAGGCGGCTCGGGCTGGGGGGGCCCCCGGCGCCTCCAGGGTTGCTGGGAACGCGGTCCTGCGTGGGACCCGGATGGTTAACGCGATGGGTCGGAGGCTGCGGCCCCCACCTGGACAGGTTCCTCGGTGCCCCCGACTGCAGGTTGGGACGAAACATCATAGGACCCCGAATTACTCTGCTGAACCGCCTCGGAGATGCTGGGACTCCAAGACCGGCCTACCTCTAGCCTCTGCTTGCTGTATTCCACCAGCCGCATCATCTGTAACCTTTACGTCCTATTTGTTAGACGAGGCCCGCCAAGATTTTAGGGGCAGCCCCGCTCAAAGACCACCTTCCTGTGCAGTTCGTGGCATCACCTGCTATCTTAGTAGAAGACAAAGCACTGCAAAACAACAACAGATGCACAGACAAAAGAAACCATAAACCCCGCATAATCCTCCTCTTCCAACTACCCCCCCCCACCCAAGACTTGTTGTTCCATGAATATCTACTGGCCAAATGGGTAAAGGAATGTGAGACTGTCATTTTTTTTTAAAGATTTTATTTATTTATTCATCAGAGACACAGAGACACAGAGAGAGAGGGGGGCAGAGACACAGGCAGAGGGAGAAGCAGGCTCCATGCAGGGAGCCCGACGTGGGACTCGATCCCGGGTCTCCAGGGTCACGCCCTGGGCTGCAGGCAGCGCTAAACCGCTGAGCCACCAGGCTGCCCCGAGACTGTCATTTTTTTAAAATCCCCTCTTCCCACTTGTTTTCCTAAAGATACAAAATCATTTTTTCGTGAGTCTGGATCCAGAAAGGGAGAGACTGGGAGAGAAAGAAAGGTTAAGTAAGTGGATGAACCCAGAACCCTCCCTGCATTCTGTGTTATTTAGCAGATCAGGGCCTTGAAAGTTGGCCAAGGTAACTGCCATTGGCAGTGCCTCATTCTTTCTCCCATCTTCATCTGAGAATGAAATGTCAACCCTCCGCCCAGAGAAAAATCCCAGGATCCCAAAGTCCCTGAAGAAACTCTTAATTCAAGGCCCCCTTCTTCTTTCCTTACTCTGAAGTTGGACCTAGCTCGTTCTTCAGCCCTGCATCTGCCATCCATCCATTCTTTCATTTGCTCATTTATTTATTAATCCAGTAACGTTTCTTGAGTACTTCCTATGTCCTAGACTGCTCTAGCAGCTACTGGATACACAAGACATGGCCCTGTGCTCTGATTCTGTTTGCCAATACTCCCACTTTTTCTGTGGATCTTACCCTCTATCTCTCTCTCGAGTTACCAATTGCTTCCTATAGATGATTCCCATCATCACTGAAGCTTGTTCTCTGGTTTCTTCGCCACCATGCTACTGCAACTGCTATCTCCATGCAAATCCAGTGGCCCCTTCTGTTTTTGCTTGCCCTCTCAGTACTATTCAACAGTCAACCACTCCCACTTTGAAACACTTGCTTCTCTTGTTTTCTGACATCATGCACTCTCAGTTAGTCCTCCTACCTCACTGGCTATTCTTTCTTGGGTTCTTTTCACTGGTTTATCTTCTGCTCAACCTATAAATATCAAAGTGCCCGGGGTTCAATCCTGAGTCCCCTTCTCTATCTACCACTCTTCTCATGTGATTTCATCTAGTCCTGTGGATTTAGGTACCATTTATAAGCAGGTGACTCCCCAATTTTTTCTAACGATGACCTTCTCCTATAATTCCTAATGCTTCAAAAAACAAACTGCATACTTGACATCTTTACATGAATGCCTAATTGGCATCTCAAAACTTAACTTGCCTACCCCCTACTGCTTAATTTTCATCCCCAAACATGTAATTCTCTGTTTTGTCCACGTTAGTGAATATCATTGCCATCCATTCTGTTGTTCAAGCCAAAATTCCAGGAGCTACTCTTATTTCACCCCCAGCTCTACTGAAGTATAATTGATATCCATGAAACCATCATCTGCCACCTGACTTACAGGGAGAGCTTCCTAACTGACTTCCCTGCACACCTTCTTGTCCCCATTCTAGCCCATGAATGAGAACACACATTAATTTAAGCCATTTATAGTGAATGTCCTGTAACTTGTACCATTCCTCACAGGTAAGTAATTTGGTGTCCCTAGTAAGACACTAAAAACAGACATTAAAATGTGGAATTAGCTACTGAATATTAAGGCAACCAGAGTTGAAGACTTTCTATTCCAAATTGGAAAGCTGGTGACCAACTTGTTAAGCCATAGTGAAACTGTCAAACTGCTGTCACTTGCTGTGCCAACCAACGCTGTATTGTAGGAGCGATCTTAAGAACAAGACAAAACACTATCGGTGTTGGCTTCTTTCCCCCCTTTAGTAGCTTTCAGTAAAGTTCTTTAAGAGAGTGACAGATCTAGATTAGAAGTATCTGATTTGAAAGCAGAGATTAGGGATCCCTGGGTGGCGCAGCAGTTTGGCGCCTGCCTTTAGCCCAGGGCGTGATCCTGGAGACCCGGGATCGAATCCCACATGGGGCTCCTGGTGCATGGAGCCTGCTTCTCCCTCTGCCTGTGTCTCTGCCTCTCTCTCTCTCTCTGTGACTATCATAAATTAAAAAAAAAAAAAAAGAAAGCAGAGATTAAAATAAGGCTTTGGTAAGAGAGGAACACCTTACTGGCAGCTTACAACCTAAATTGGTCACATCCCACAACATGGAGCCTCACTGGTTTGAAACAAATAATTTTCTTTGTATAGCCAAGGTGAAGCCAGCACAACTGGAGAGGCAGCTTTATCAGGAGATAAGACTGAGGCCAAGGTAGCAAAAATGGGCTTGAGGTGGCATCTCTCCCTGCAGCTGTTGTATTGAATTGCCTCAACTCTAAGTGAGCACATACAAAAGCAGTCCCTCAAAGACTTAAATACTCTAATACTTGGTTTGCTTGTTTTGCAAAAATAAACACTTGAGGTAGTCACAAGAAACTAATAAAAGAGAACAGAGGTGAGAATAAGGCCTTTATTTATTTATTTTGGTATTGTTTTGATTTTTTTTAAACAAGAAAAACATTATCTATTCAGAAAAAAATATTTTATATCTTTAATTTAGAAAACCATTTAAAGACTCCCTATATAAGGGATTACTCATCCTTGGAATTGACCAGAAGCCTAACAAATGACTGAGGGAATCATTTGTGTCCTTAAAATCAAGCCTGGTCAACACTGTTCTGTTACTGTTTAACCCTTAGGGCAATCCCTGGATTCCTGAATTCCCTCCAACAGGGAGTAGGATGCAAACACTCTGCATTCCACACAACCAGGGGACAGAAGACATGAGGGGCCACCAGGTTCCCCAATAAAAAACTTAATGCACTGCCATGGAAGAGATCCCTTGCTATAGCTTTCTAGCAGGAATGGATATGTTTTACTGAAGGGAGTATATTATGCTTTCCATTCTTCTTCTTTTTTTTTTTTTTCCTAAAAGGAAGCTTTCATTGTTTCTTCACATTGTGTGCTGGAAGTGTTTTTATACGTTATTGTTGTAGAGTGTAAAGACACACTCCTATTTTCTTTTACTCAGAAACACAATACCTCTGATACCAGGTATGTGGATTTTCCCCCACACCAAGCAATTCTCTGCAACACCAGCTGAGTGTACTACAGTGCAATTCAATTCTGACACTAAGTGGGGTTGGTGCAGACCCCACAGTTTAAAGGCTCAGTCCCATAAGACTGCCCCCCCCCTTCAGATGACAATCACAATAGTAGGTCCACAGGTTACCTAACTACTGTCCAATTTGGCTACAAATTGGAGGTTTCTAAGACTCCCTCCTTGGACTTGATCATTTGCTAGAATAGCTTCTAAAACTCAGGGAAATGCTTACTTATGCTTCCCAGTTTATTATATCTTAAGAGATACAAATGAATAGCCAGATTTGGAAATAGAGTCTGGAAGGGTCCCAAGTGTAGGAGCTCCTGTCCCTGCCAAGTTTGGGTGCACCATCCTCCCAAAACATTGTCGTATTCACCAACCCAGAGGCTCTCCAAAATCTGTACTATTGGGATTTTTATGGACACTTCCTGACATAAGCATGACTGATTATTGTTGATAGATCAATCTCCAGTCCCTCTCCCCTTCCTGGAGGATGGGATGTGGAGCTGAAAGTTCCAAACTTCTAATCATGGCTTGGTCTTTCTGGTGACCAGGCCCCATGCTGAAGTGATCCAGGAGCCCACCAAGAGTCACCTCATTAAAACAAAACACTCCTATTATCCAGGAAATTCCAAGGGATTTAGGAACTGTGTCAGGAACCAGGGTCAAAGATCAAATATTAGAACAAAAGATGTTCCTAGTGTTCTTGTCACTTGGGAAATTATAGAGGTTTTTGGAGCTCTATGCCAGGAACCAGGGGCAGAGACCACCATATGTATTTTTTATTAATTCACAATAGTATAAACAAAGGAAAGTACACATATAGAAAAGCATACAACTCAACAAATCTTCAGAAACCGAACACACCCATATAACCAGCACCCAGATCAAGAAAGAAAACATTAGGGATCCCTGGGTGGCGCAGCGGTTTGGCGCCTGCCTTTGGCCCAGGGCGCGATCCTGGAGACCCGGGATCGAATCCCACTTCGGGCTCCTGGTGCATGGAGCCTGCTTCTCCCTCTGCCTGTGTCTCTGCCTCTCTCTCTCTTTCTCTCTCTGACTATCATAAATAAATTAAAAAAAAAAAAAAAAAAAGAAAGAAAACATTAGGGCTGCCCTGGTGGTGCGGTGGTTTAGCGCTACCTACTGACCAGGGT